CTTATGTGTAGGAAAAGTAAAAGCTTATCCCTCTGGGATGCTAGCATGTTTTGCTAGAGATTCCTCTATTAGAGAGGCTTATTTTGGAACTATTAAAAGCTGATTTTAAATTTTTCTTTCCACTTTCCACTTTACTCCTATACTCAACTGTAAAACATTAATATTACACTTAAGTTATAGTCTACATCTAGAATGTGGTCCCTTCAAGCCCATCTGGCCATTTCCTTTTGTCTTTTTAACATCTGTGTTCCTAATCTGTGTACTCAAAAGATTGCTACTGAGAGACATGAAAGTCATCTGTGTAATGTTATACAGCAGATAGAAAAATGAAGCAGATACACCCAGAGTCCACAAGATACGCTTCAGCTTCCTGTGTAAAAGGCAAATCCTTCAAAGCTTTCCCATGTACAAGGCAAGCCTAATATTAAGTGGTTGATACTCTTTTCAAGGAAGTCTATAAATTACAGTTTTTAGGGTTGCCAGGTCTGTTTCCAAAAAATAGTGGACAAGCGGGGGGGGGGGGTAAGTAGTAAAAAAAAGTAGACTGTGCAGCTTTAGATTACGTACCATTTCATCATAAAGCTTTTGAATAAAAAAAATGTCCACTATTTTGTGAAAAAAATAGTGAACATAATGTGAAAAAAGTGGACTGTCCACTCAAATAGTGGACACCTGGCAACCCTAAGTCAGTTTTTCTACTGTACTATATTATTCTCTCTCTCACACACACACATACACTATATTCTCCTTGTCTTTTGTTCTCTTGTCCAGTTCTTTGTTATTTCTGTTCAATACAGTTTGCTCATATTTAGTTGTGAATGCCAAAATTGAAATTCAGAAATACCACACTTCTTATGAATGATTCAGTAAATAGGGGACAGGGAAGGAAAAAACTTATCACAGCAAAAGATGAAGGAATTTGGTTTATGCTTTCAGTCATATGCATAGCAAAAACTCTGGCTAAAAAAGACAATATTTAACTTGGCCCCCAAAACAGGAAGGAAATCCTGACTCAAATTATTTGTCCTTCTAGTCCAAGAAAAATATTGGCTTCAGGAAAAGATTGCTAGGATTTGATATATTGGATATATTTTATTTGGACATACATTTAATATATGATTAGTATAATGAAGTACAATGAAGTATATTTCAAATAATTCAAGAAAGATAAGCTAAACAGACCACTATTGATGGCTAGTGGCTATAACTAATGTGAATACTAACTTGGGAAAAATTCCATTTTGTGAATAGAGACAATATGTTTCTCCTGGGCTTCACCAGCTTTGAGCTTACTCTGTACAGCTTTTGTGTAAGAAAATCTTGTAACATGAACTATTTTTATATTTGATTCTAAGGTAAATTACTCAGCAGATGATAGCACCAAGTCAATTTTGTCTGTAGTTCAGAAGCTAAGCATGGTAAGCTATTCTCCAAAGCACCTGGAGGCAGGAGAAGAAGCAATGGATGGAAACTAATCAAAGATAGAAGCAACCTGGAACTAAGGAAAAATTTCCTGACAATTAGAACAATTAATCAGTGGAACAATGTGCCTCCAGAAGTTGTGAATGCTCCAACACTGGACGTTTTTAAGACGAGACTAGACAACCATTTGTCTGAAATGGTATAGGGTTTTCTGCCTGAGCAGGGGGTTGGACTAGATGATCTCCAAAGTTCCTTTCAACTCTACAACTATTGTTGTTGTTGATAATATTGTTATTATGTCTAACTACTACTTGGATGACTGTGAACTAGGTTGGAAAGTAAAACAAGTGCAACCCTCGATGAAGGTTGTAAAGAAATCTTTTCTGTACTTTTTCCAATAAAATTATGTAATAGTCTCCATGTATCCACAAGAAGTCAAGTTTGACTCAAGGACAGCTTTGTATTTAGACAGAGCATGTTGAGAGAAAAGTTTCCAGGGATTCTACATTAAAACAATACAGGTATTCTATTACAAAGATTACATATACGTATGTGTAGTTGATACTGAGTGCTGTTTTTTTATAGTGCAACAACCTCCCTCTCCACCTCAAAGAAACATTACATACCAAGAGGTATTACCTGGGAGTGAGAGCTAATGAATTCATTGGAACTTACTAATGAGTAAGCATGGATTTATGTTTGCTGAGCTTTATTTTTATTCAATGAAGCTATCTATTTGTGTAAATGTTGTTAAGAAGAAATATCCTTTAATCACATCTGGGAACCAATTAGCTTTACAAACAGTGCCATTTTCAGACAATAATTTTTATTAAACTTTTTTTGATCTGCCCATCATTTTTGGGGGTTGTGACCTTGGCTAGTATATAAAAGTACATATAGATGCACATTTACAAATTTATCATGTGTACGCATTTACTAGAAAAGATGACATCCTCAGGAATTGGGTTTAATAACAAGATAGATAATGTATCTAATCTTCCTTTCAGTCAGGGTTACTTAAAGGCAGAAACATTTTTTTGATTAAGCAATATTTGAATGTTAAAAAAAATAAATTGGAATAATGCTTGTTAATACAGTAGAATACATAGAGGATATAATTTAGAAATTTTTATGCTGCAAGAATATGTTGGTCTTTAAATTAGATTTTACTGATTTTGATGCAATAATTAAACTAACACTATAACAAGTTATTTTCACTCTAGAAATTTCATTATCAGATATGTAGCTTGAAACACACCACACAAAAAAAAATCTAATAGTAAGATTTCATGGCATGACTGAACAGCAGCATTTGCAACAGGGTTTCTGAAACTTGGCATAGCAACTTTAAAATGTGTGGACTTCAATTCCCAGAATTCCTCAGCCACCAGGGCTGACTAGTTAATTCTAGGAGAAAGTCCTCCTAGACTAGGGGTGTCAAACTGCCGGCCCACGGGCCGGACGTGTCATCTGGAAGCCGCGCCCACATTGCCGGCAATGGCAAAACCGTCCCGATACATTGTGTGATGTCCCATGTCGCGAGTTTGACATGGCTGTCCTACACTTTCCACACTAACAACACATATTAAAGTTGCCAAGTTTGAAAATCATCGATGTACACAACAGTCATCTCACAATTCTGCTTTTTCAGAACAGTACTCAAATAAAAAATAAAAAAACAATAGCACTTGGTACACACTGTATTTGTGGACAGGTAAGAGAAATATATACTTTAGAACAGGGGTCCCCAACCCCCGATCCGTGGACCAGTATCAGGCCATGGCATGTCAGCAACCGATCCGCACAAGCAAAGCCCCATCCGTGGGATGCAGGCAGCACACAAAATCACACACCCTCCGGTCCGCGGAAAAACCTCTCTCCACGGAACCGGTCCCTGGTGCCCAAAAGGTTGGGGACCTCTGCTTTAGAAGCTCTTTGGATCAGACCATAATTATTAATAATGCAGATTACTGTTTCCCTACCAGAATCAATTGGATTCACAGAGCAATCTTCTTCTACTGGGATTTCAGATTCAACAAAGTGATATCTGAGGCCAAATGGCATCTGTGTTGTCTCACATTAGCAGGAAATTGGGAGAAAGGGGTACAGAATAATCACACACAATCCTTTTTAGATCTGCTTTTTTATTTAGAAATGAGACAACCAGTGGGTTAGAAATTAGAAGTGAGGATGGTAATATAAAAATTGAAACACTAAGACACTGACAATATGCCATGAAGGCGCTCTTCATTTTTTACATAATTAAAAATACTCTATATAAACACTCGTTCTGCAACCACACTGAGACATTCATAAGAGCTTTTAGCTTAGCCTTAATCAGTCTCTTCTTGCCTCTCATCCTCTTTTATTCTAGTGAAATGAATACTTCAATGGAGAGATCCAATGAATAGCAGGAAATAAAATACATGCTTGGAATGCAGTAATCATTTCCTATCAGATTAAACACCATGTAGAATTTATAGACAAGATAAGCATCACTAAAATGTTTCCTCATAGAACTCACAATCTTACTGAGAAACACTAGACATTAAAAAAAACCATTTAATTGGAAAACAAACATTTATTTTTGATATTTCTACAGAGAGCCAACGTCAGTGATACTTCCCTTATTTGGTTTGGACATTACAGCAGCAAATCAATTCTGAAAAATCCATACAAAATTCTGAATATATGATATATATTTCAGTAATTATAATGCAGAAGCTGCTCTGATCAGAATTATAAAAGAATGCAAGATTCAGGAGTTGAAGAATTCTTCATCCAGACAATTTGTTTAAAAAGGGGGGAAATAATTGGGCAAAAAGCAAATGAAGCCTTTTTTAAAAACTAACGTGCCAGTGAAGAATTTTGGAAACTTAAGTTTACATGCAGTCCTGTAACTCTTAGATTGTCTAACGAAAAGGTTGCCATGTACAGTACTGGCTTTATTTGTCTTGTGGCCAATTGCCTTTGTGATGTATCTGTGCATATACATTCTGTGTATACAATCCCCCATTGCATCTGGAATTACTGGCATCCTCTAAATATCTGCCCTAGAGAGATATGAAATTAGCCAGACCAATTATTACAATACTAATGGCTTCAGGGGATGGAATGGATAATAGAAGTTGCTTTCACCTGCTTATTTGTTTCCTTTACTAGAGGATATACTGTCTGTGAATAAAAGCAATCATTCCATGGGTGGAAGGAATGCACAATATGAATCCATTAGAAGTACTAATCTATGCAAAATCCACCAAGAACCTTTCTATTCAGCCAGAAGTCGATCTCAATGAGCCTGTTTTGAAAATAAATAGATGAGTCAATTGCTCTAATGCCATGAGCAAATCATTATATGACATGCCATACTGTATATATTTTGAATTGTGGAATAGAGGCTGCTTTTCCATTAAACTAATGCAATCTATCATATATCTATTAAAGAAACATCTATTAGATGTGCCAATCTATAAATAAAGGTAATATTTATGTAAGACTAGATTGACAGACACAGATGACTTCATCTAGAATGAATAATACTCATTGAGTATGAGATTTAAAAAATGAATACATCCAAATGGAGACATGTTGTTTGCATTTAATTAAATGAAGCATTAATTACAAAATCATCTTAAAATATTTCAATTATTTAGCAATTGATGATGTATTAAAAAGGTGAAAGGACTGGACACTGTTGGTAGAGATCATCTGGATCGTGCTGTCAACCCAATCCTCTTTATATTTTCCTGGGATCCATGCTGCAGGTCCAATACTTCTTAAGTACAAGTATTTCATATGCAGCCAGATAATTCCTTGTCATAGGACCAGCCCAAGCAGGTTGCAAGGTGGCATTAGGTGTGTCTTGTGGGGCAGGTTTGGAATGTCTACTTCTCAGATCCTTGGACCTGTCCACTTCAGATGTTCCCCATGCCTCATCATAGCATGTGTTGTTAACATCCACTCTTCAGCCATTTAGCAAGATGTTTGGTACACATCGTAGACCCTTATTTTGGTCACTAATTTTTAAATAATGTAATGCAGGCCAAAGCAATTCATACTCAGCAACAAAAGTCTCTACTAGGAGGATCATTCCTAAATTATAAACTTTGAGTTAATCATGATGTAAATGATGCAATTACAGTATTGTCTTCACGTATTACAGTATAATGCTGGCATCTTCATGAGTGATAGAGTTCCATAGAAAATATTAAATTATTTGGATTATTTATAGTTGAAACAGTATTAACAAATTACCAGTCTTATATATTACTTCTATTTCTTAACCATTGCTATCAGCTGGAAGCATCTGGTATATGAATGAACAAAATAAATAAATAAATAAAAACAAGCTCCTATATACAAATATACCAGAATGCTTTGATGTAATTTAGGACAGAAATTCAATTCATCATTTCATCTTTGGTTGAAAAAACTAAAAAGAGAGAGAAGAGAGAAATTAGATTATAATTAGTCTATAATTAATATTTGGGCATGCTATCTTAATGCATAGAGCCACTAGAGTAATACAAAACACACCGCTGGATTTATCTAAAGAGAAAATTAGGACATTTCTTTCAAAATGGTGTTATTCTGACTATTTTCAGTAAGCCATGTGAAATTGGCAATATATTTAATTTAAAGTTCCCCCAAAAAAGGAATGTTCTTCTACAGAAGGGCAGAAGCTGCTGCTTAACTACTGGAGTGATTTTTTTAGAATTTGTTAGCTTTAAATTAGTATAATGACATAAATGTAAATAGTAGTTGATAACTCTGCATGATGACTCTGAAGCATAAATTTGTAGTTGTATATTTTTAAATATACAGTTTAAATATACAGTGACAGTTAGAACAATTAATCAGTGGAACAACCTGCCTCCAGAACTATGAATGCTCCAACACTGGAAGTCTTTAAGAAAGAGACTGGACAACCATTTGTCTGAAATGGTATAGGGTTTCTTGCCTGAGCAGGGGTTTGGACTAGATGACTTCCAAGGGCCCTTCCAACTTATTATTATTATTATTATTATTATTATTATTATTATTATTATTATTATTATTATTATTATTATTATTATTATTATTATTATTACTATTGACAAAGCTGCAACTTAAGAATCAAATTTACCCAATGTTGCTGCCTGTTAGTTTGCACTTCATTTCAGTCCAAATTTCTTCCATGCTTTTTCAAATGCTACTTGTCCCATGAGGAATGTGATGGTAAAATTCCGTTTGTACCATTCCCTACATTTTAGAAGCAAGGGAACATAGCAAAATCATGGTCATCTTGAAAAAAATATTAAAGAAGATAAATATTTAGAAAAACCTTTCTCTCTCTTGCATAATTCAAGTGAACCCTAACAAATTTGTAGTGTTGGAAGTACCTTTCTAAAAAAATACTCTACTCTGTACCATATGCATATGGGTATGTGCAAAAACATACGCTGCATTATTTGAAGCACCATTTTATTTATTTTATTTTATTAGGCTAACATGCTTCTGTAGTCCGAAAAAGGTCTCTTTTAATAAAGCTTATATAAACTGCAATAATATACCAATGCAGTGAATACAAATTAGGTTAAGAGACATTCTTTTATTTCTGAAACGAGTTTCTAACTCTACAAATTCATCAAAAGATCAAAGTACGGTCCTCTTCTGAAGGTGTTGCATAGCCCTAGCTGATAAACAGTAAGTTAACAATTTATTAAATTAATACAAAAATGTTGTACTATTAAAATTTGATAATACAGATAAATGATTTTATCACTCAGATAAATTTTATCTTTTTAAATATTGCATACAATATTTAAATTAAGCTAAAACTAAAGAGAGAGAGAGAAGAGAGAAATTAGACTATACTTAGTCTATAATTAATATTTGGCCATCCTTACACACAGCCACTAATGTGTGCCATTGTGCCCACTATAAAAATGACAGTAAAGGTTATCTTATCTTATCTTAATACAAGAAACACCACTGGATTTTTTCTAAAGAGAAAATTAGGATATTCATTTCAAAATGGTGTTTTGCTTTTTCATTTTGTTAGCTACCTTGGAAATATACTTTTTAAAATAGAGTAACTGTTTAAAAGAGCAGCTATACTTATGTGTGTTCAAAAGTATCTTTGCTTAATTCAGCTGGATTTTCTTCTGACTATGTTCAGAGTTGTATTGTAATAATGTGAAGTGCTGTATCACTATGTCCAGATAAATTATATTGTTTCCTGTTCAATATTTAATATAACTTTTATTGCCTATCTTTGTCCTATTAAATTAAAACTGTGAATAGGATTATATAGTTTAATCTTAATATGGTATATCATGTAGCAATACTGTACTGTATGCAAATAATGATTAAAATCCTGTTTCTAAATGACAAATGCAGTTTATTTAGGATTGCAACATCTTACATGGAAGTGTGCAAACTACTACTTTCTAAACCTACAATTTTATGCCCACTTAGCTCCAAATCTCAGTGAATACAATTGAGTGTTTTAGGCCTCAAGGTATCTGCCTCAAGGCCTTCCATGATCAGTTAGGTAGAATATGAGACTGATGCACTGTCTACTGTGCTAGATGAAATGCAGTCAATGAAGAAATACTAAGAATATAGAAAGTACAGTGCAGATTGGTAGGTGAGTGAATAGCAACAGAGAAACAGATAAAGTCAGCTGGCGATTTGGAAATAGTTCCAAAAAGTTTATTAAATAAATTGTTTAAAGAAATCAATGAAAGAGAAGGGTAGAACTGATTTGACAAATAAGGAAAGAAAACTACCCTGAAAAGTATCTCTTACCTATTATAGTATACATTTTTTTCCAAGTTTTTACTTAGGAAATCTTTGTAAAATTCAGCCATCTCTTCTGCAGTTAATGATGCTTTCTGACCTGAAATGAAAATAAAATCACAGCCTATAGATAAGAGGAAAAAAATCTTAATGGTTAATTTCTTTATTATTTATTATGACAGGTTTAATATCAAATTAAAATTGAAGCCAGGATATCCATATTTATGGATTTATGGCTACATACTATCGCTTCTATACACAAACAACTCTCCACAAAATAGTTGTATTATTTTAAGGATGTTCACATTAAAGATCTGTATGAACTTTGTAAAATGGAAATGCTGTATGAATTACAAATAGTAGCATTAGTAATAACTGGTTAAATCATGGCTGTCCAAACTTTTGGCTTGCCTGGACTGCACTGAGTGAAGAGAAATAGTCTTGGGCCACAAATAAAATATATAATGTAGTTAGTGTATATAAATAACAAACTTCCTGTTAAAAGTTTACAATCTTGTGGGGATGCCTTACTAGCTGTTCAGGAGTGCATGTGGCCTATAGGCCATGGATTGGGATGCCTGGGTTAAATGAATAATATAGTACTAAGCAGAGAAATAAAAATATTCTTTTGTAGCTAAGAGTCACTCCAAATTCATGGAAAATTATAGACTTCTTCCAGGCTTCTCTGTAATTAAATTTTAGTTATATTACTCCCTATCATGAGTTCTCTCTCTAACTTGTAACTTCATTCTCAAGGAGCCTAATGTTCTTATTCCAAAATTGAACTTTCTGCAATAGAATCTATTTTAAATTACTAATGAAATTTGAGGATTAGAAACACTATAATGAAATAAAGCTATGCTACAGCAAATATTCCAAGCCATTTTTATTTTAGCTTTACTAAATACAGTCAGATATGCATGATTTCTTTGATCAAAAGTGGGATATAAGTATTTGACTTAGACTATATTCTATGATTTAAAATCCACAAGTAACATAAATCATTTAAGAATGTATGCCAAATGGTAAAACTAATGATCTAACCTTTTTCATCTCTTGGCTGTATACCTTTGGCTTTCAGTCTAGAACAAACAAATTCTTCTTTTTCCTGAAATAAGATTCAATAATATTATAATATATTGGTTCTTAGTGTATTGGTATCATCTTATTAAGTGACAGTTATCAATCATAATAGTTTATGATTGAAAAATCAACTCCATCTAATATTTTAATTTACTACGTTCCCCTGGAAATAAAACCCGGTCTTTTTTTTTGCCTCCAAAAGAGGCACCAGGTCTTATTTTCAGGGGCGGATCTTTCCCACAGTCTCACCTCGTGGCAGCGGCACTGACAGCCCTGCTCAGCTGGCCCACTTCTTCTGCGGCCGAAAGAAATGCCGCTGCAGCTGAGAATGGAGCTCCTGAATTATGCACGTGGCACCCCCCAGCCTGCATTTCGCCATGAGAGGCCTTCTGGAAAGGCCTCTGACGGCGAAATGCAGGCTGGGAGGCACTGCAGAATAAGTGGGCCGGCGAGGTGAGGCAGGTGTTGATTCATGGGAGGCCTGGCTGCAATGGTAGGCGGGTGTGAGGTGTGTGGGGCAGCTCCACCCTCTCCACTCCTGCCCTAGCTTGATTTTTAGGCATGCGCCTCGCCCCAAACTAGGGCTTATTTTTGGGGTAGGGCTTATATTAGGTCACCCCCCAAAAATCAAGCTAGGGCTTATTTTCGGGCTGGGTCTTACATTTGGGAAAACACGGTATCTTCAACATATACAATTAAGTAACAAAAAATTCAGCAGCTATCTATTCATTTTGATATGACTATTAAAACTGAGAAAAAAACCACACTTGTACAGCAATACTTCCCCCTACAAAAAAAAATACACTGGCTCTAGGTTAGAGTAAACAGATAACTAAGTTTATGATAGTAAGACTTCATAATTGGCATTGGAGAAATTTAGAAATGAAAAATAAGTTAAAAATATTACAAATATAAAACATGAATTGTATATTGAACAGTTGAATAGTATCATTGCTTTAAAACGAATTTTCCTACAAGACTTAAATGAACAACCAGTGCCATCTAGTGGTTTTATATTTCTACCTTTCTAAATGATAAATTTTGATTTGCCCAGAATTCTTGATTCCAAGCCTGAGTTTCCTGCCTAAGTTCTCTCAGTCTTCTTTCCAATGGAGTTTCATCTTTAGGAACATAAAATATTACTGGTCGAAGGTTTGAATACTGATCAGGAGGTCCAATCCAATCACAGCAAGAATCTGAAGGTGGCTGAAAACGTGAAACCTTAAAAAAAGAGAGGAGGTGGGATTAATAATACAAACCATCACAAATTATTTCAACATTATATTGCCCAAAGAAAAGAGGCAGGCTATACAAACAATTATAAAGGTGAGATAAGATTAAGCAAAACTTTAAAGAATAACATTTAACACTGGGCAAAATTCAATCTTATGTCTGTCTATCTTGTAGTTTAGCAAACATCAAATAGGTGGTGAAATGAAGAAATAATCAGAACAATTTTTTTAAAAAAATAAAATACAATGCACACAATGCATACATAGATCCTTTTTTTCCCTGATAGAAAACAGTTGCGGTATTTGTGATATGTCTCTGTAAGACTTAATATCTCTAGTTTGCCCTTAATCCCCCCAAAGCCCAAATGTGCAGTTCCAAAACCATGATATCATGCTTTACTGAACATCCCCACTGTAATTTTCAGGTCCTTTTTTTAACAAGAAAACTTCAAGTGAAAAACTGATCTCCTCATAAAGAAGTAACTGAATCAGAAAAAAGAAAATAAACTACAAAACAGAATACCACAAAGGAGTAAAGTTCATGTAAGGCTGATAAATTGAAGCAATTGTTTGTAATTTTAACTGCAGAAGAAGAATTGTGGGGATATTAAAATCGTTTTATAAGCTGCCCTTCAAAATAATTTTTCCAGGTAACTTGTAATAGTTTTCTGAAATTGTAATTTTGAGACTAATCTAACTAATCTAACATGTCAAAAAAACCCAAAATTTTATTGGAGATAAATGGAAACAGCAATATAGTTATTGACTCTTACTCCTAGTTTTGGGGATTTGTATTAAAGTGTCAAAAGCTAACAAAGTAGATGTGCCTCATTCCAGATCTAGGGACCACTACGGACCAAGTAATAGCATTGGTGGAGAAGGATGTCAGAAGGGAGAATAATGTACTTAATGTGGTGACCCAAGTCATCATCCCCTTATACACACATATAGAAAAGAAGGCAGAACTTAGATTATGATGCCATATCCACTATCCCACAGAATTCACAGTGAGTAGGTGTGCTCCATTCATTTCTTGTCAAGCCTCAGGTGGGGAAGGATGGTTTAAAGGTCTAAGTATTCTTTAGGCAGTTCCAAAATATGAAGAGATTCAGGAGTTAAAATCAGTTTCTTAAATTAAAGTCAGGCTGATGATGAAGTGAATATTCAGTCCCAGGCAGTTCTCTTGCTATCACAGTTTCCAAACTGTCTTGAAAATCAGCTTTACATAAAGCGCAAAATGGTAATCTAGGTGAGCAGTTAGCTACCAGAGCACTGATTACTGAAGCCAACCTAAGTGGTTAAAAGTGCATTAAACAGAAGAAAGCATTTTTGTTTAATGAAAAAAAAAAGGAATCTCACATCAACAAAAGATGCAAGCAGATCCTTTTATTTCACAGAAAGAAAACCAAAAGGAACAATATACCAGAATGCACAAGTTATGCCCAGTGCCTTGTCCGGGATAAGAAACAATCATTTTACTAATTCCAAGCAGCTTCCTTCATTTCTGTGATTTGCTTACGAAGATTTGATGAATAAACCACAATTGGCTGGATTTACAGAACACGCAAAAGCAATCAGATTATCGTTAAAACCTGTGCTACGTGAACCAAGCCACCGACTCTATGACAGCAGAAAGTTACCCGGTGCCCTCCCACAGTTTCGTCACGCTGGCTGGGAAAGAGTCGAACGGAAGCATGAAACCTTGGCAGGGCTCCCGGATACCTAGCCCTTTATTTCCTCCGCGTTACCTTTCTCTTGGGAGGCGAGGGCGCGCTCTGCCTCTCCGGGTCTTCGCCACGCGAAGATCCCCCGGAGACTGAGGATGACAAAAACCTGCAGCCGAAGCAGCTCGAGACTAGGTTCGGGCAGCCGCTCAGGCTGTATAGAAATCCTCGGCTCCTCACGACAATCGCCATCCAGGCCAGACCAAGGCAAGGGATAAAAACACCCCTCGCAGCCTCCAAGAACTGAACGCGCGCCGTTGCTTTACGGCAGTGTTTCTCAACCTTGACCATTTGAAGGCATGTGGACTTCAACTCCCAGAATTCCACAGCCAGCATTCTGGGAGTTGAAGTCCACAGGCCTTCAAATTGTCAAGGTTGAGAAACACTGCTTTACGGCGACGTCGTGAAAGGCGGGGGAGGGAGAGTTCCTTGTCAGTTCTCGCGCGCTCTCCTCGTTCCCTCAAATGGCGCCGGCGTTAGGGAACGCCGGGAGAGCGCGCGAGCTGGGCTGGGAGCTGGAGTCTTGCAATCAGCCTAGCTCATTTTCGAGCCACCCTTGAGGTGAGAAAGGGAGCGGAGAGGGAGGGACGCGGTGTGGCGGAGGTGCTACGGGCAGCTCCAGCCTGCTGTGCGCTTCCCAAGGACGACCGTGGGGATCGGACCGCGGAGGGAATGATGGAAAGTCCGCACGCTGGTTCGAAAGAAGGGAGCTTAGAGGACGACGTTACTGGAGTTACCTGACTCGTGGGGTCTTGGCGGTGGTGGTGGGGGGGGGGGAGTATGGAGTGAAGACGAAGGGGAGAAGACTTGCGGAGTAAGGAGGGAAAGCTGGGCAGCCGGTCCTTGCCGACGGGGCGAAGGAACCGGCCGAGTTAACATGCCCGGGTGATGGGAAAGCGGGTCCAGGCTTCTCAAACTGAAAAAAAAGCAAAGGCAGCCGGCCTGGTAAGATTGCATGCTGGGCGATGGTGAAGAGCAGCGAGACGGGCATCCCGGCGAAGTTGGCGAGACCGGCTGAATCGAAGCGAGGGGAAGGGATCAACGGAGCCCTGCGGCCAATGGGGTGGACCGAAAGCTCCGCTACACCAACCCCAATTGTCGCCCTTTCGAGTCCGTCGGTCTGCGGCGTCCTCCCTTAACGCCCGCCCGCCTGCCTTTTTTTTTTCTCTCTCCAGAGGTCAAGATGGGCTGCTGAGGGAAGAAAGCTGTAGAACAGTGTTTCTCAACCTTGACCATTTGAAGGCATGTGGACTTCAACTCCCAGAATTCCACAGCCAGCTATGCTGGCTGTGGAATTCTGGGAGTTGAAGTCCACATGCCTTCAAATGGTCAAGGTTGAGAAACACTGCTGTAGAAGTCCTCGTTTATTGGGGCCGGTGGAGGGACGAGTCTGGATTAGGCAAGGGTTGGGGGGGGGGAGAAGGTCTCCCAAGGCGGGTAGGCCAAAGGGCTGTTCGCCTCGCGTTGCGCGTTCCTGCTAACCGGCTGCGGCGAAGAGGTGTCGTGCTGGGTCTAAGCCCCCTTTAGTGCAGCGGGCTTCCTGGAAGACCCGCTCTGCGTCAGATTAGGCGGCTCGTCCGCACTACTTGGCAGGTGTGAAGCAGGGGGGCGGGCGACTATGGAAGCGTAGCGTAGCTGACGGCGACGGAGTCCCGGCGGGGAGGAAAGGATGGATTTAACTACCAGCTGGGAACAGCCCCGTCTGGGGGTGGCGAATTGAGGCCGGAGATTGTCACGGCGCGGATGGTCTCTCCCCCCTCCCTCCTTTCCCCCCCCAATCGGTAAATAGCTTCTGGTTATAAAGGGTGTTTGGGAACCAGGAACACGAATTTAGGCCTGGCGGGGCTCGGTGAGCCGGATTCTCCTGTTCTCGTCTCCTCCAGGACCCGAACCCGTTTGCTTTCTCGGCCTCTCCCCCGCGACCCCCTCCTCCCTCCCTCCCTCCAGCCGTTCCCGGAGAAGCGCCCCGGTGGTCAAAGCGGAATTAGATTGTGCAGCATTGTGAAGTCACGGAGTGGGGGGGGGGAGGGCATGGAGGACGGCGGGGAGGGTTGTCCGCGCGCTCTACCTGGGGGAAGCGGCCCGAGCTCGGGGCTGATTCCTGGCTACCTTCCTGCAGGGATGTAGGATTGACACGGGGGCCGGGGGATCAAGCTCTGTGCACGGGGGCTCGCTTCCCCCAAAGAGCTTCTCGCTGGGTAAGAAGAGGACGGAGGGTTGGTGTGTGTATAAGTGGCGGGGCCGAAAGAGTTGCAGCTTCGCTCTATAGCAGTGGTTCTCAACCTGTGGGTCGGGACTCCATTTGGGGTCGATCCGACCATTTCACGGGGGTCGCCAAGCAAGGCTGTCCGCCATTTTTTTTTTGTCCGCCATTTTTTTTCCCCTTTTCCGGCGGGTGCCTTACCTCCCTTGGGCTGGGCCAGCTGGTGGTCGGCCTGCTCCGTCTCTGCCGCTTGCCAGCTACGCCTCAGCCGGCGCAAGGGGCGGAACCACGCATGCGCGGCGCTCCCGGGCAGGGAAAGTCCTCGACTTACGATCGGTTGGGTAGCCCTTGACTTACGACCGGTTTAGTCCTCGACTTACGACTGGTTGGGGTCGCGGCATTAAAAAGGTTGAGAACCACTGCTCTATAGTATACCTAGCAGTGTTAGAATGGGATCGGTGGACCCAGACTCAAAAGCGTTGTCGCCCTGAGTAGCTAAAGGACTTGTACAGTTTGAAATTAAGAGGACGGCTGTCTTTATTTCTGGAGAAAAGAGGGAAAAGCAAAATATAACTTTGTATTTCCCTGGGATGACCAAAGAAGGGTAATGAGAGATGTGTCTGTTTTTGTCCCTAGTAATTTTATCTGCTTTTGATACTAGAAGAATATTGTTTGGGGAGGCAGTTGCTACTGTTTTTTTTTCCCCAATACATGAGCACTTGTTATGACTTGCTTGTGGTATTTAAAGAGATTGGGCAAAGAAACCACCCTGCTTGGAACATTTTAGTTCATACTTTTTACTTTTGGCAAGGGGTAGACCAAGTTAGGCATAATTAATATGCACCAGAGTTCAAACAACTGGCACAATCTTTCAAGAAGATTAGAGCTATTATATCTTCAAAAAGATGTTATGTTACTGTACTGTATTGTCTCTCGAATAAAACAATAGTGGAATATTTCTTGAGTACTTCCAACTGCTCATATGTGGTTTTTTAAGAATATTTTCAAGCAATCTGTTACATTTTATTGTATTTCCATTGTTTTTAGTTCTGTTGAAACTGGATGAAGAAAAAGAATGGATATGGGTAACCAACATCCATCTATCAAAAGGCTGCAAGAAATACAAAAAGAAGTCAAAGAGTTTGAATCTCAAGTAGTAGCCTTCAGTGGTTTGTCCAGTGATAGAGCTTACAAGAAATTAGAAAGGACTTTGACTAAACAGCTTTTTGAAATAGATTCTGTGGATGCTGAAGGAAGAGGTGATGTTCAGCAAGCCAGAAAGAGGGCTGCCCAAGAAACTGAGAAACTGCTTAAGGAACTGGAGCAGAACGCAAACCATCCCCAAAGGCTGGAGATAGAATCCATATTTAACGAGGCACAAGCATTGGTGGAGCAGGAAACCACTGCTTTTTATAAAGGAGGCAACTGTGTAACTGAGGAATTTGAAGAAGGTTTACAGGATATAATTTTTAGACTCACTCAGGTAAAAACCGGAGGGAAAATTTCTCTGCGGAAAGCCAGATATCGCACCCTGACCAAAATATGTGCTGTTCAAGAAATTATAAGTCGTTGTACAAAGCAGCAGCCTTCCCTGCCATTGTCCAGTGATGCACATCCTTCTGTTTCCAAAATTAATTCTGTCATAGGAGATGTGAACAAAGCAAAAGGGACTCTTATTGCTGTATTAATGGGAGTAAATAACAATGAGACCTGCAGACATTTATCCTGTGTACTCATAGGTCTGATTGCTGATCTGGATGCCTTAGATGTATGTGGCCACCCAGAGATAAGAAACTATCGTAAAGAAGTAGTGGAAGAGATCAATAGATTGCAAACATATCTGGATCTGGAAGAAGAAGCAGATTCCACTTATGCTTATGACTTGGCACAAAATGGATCCATTATAAAAATAGAAGAAATACGCCAGAACATGAAAGAAGTTAAAGTTTCCCTTTTAAAAATAGAGAAAGCTTCAGATTTGTATCTAAAGTCAAAGACAGAGCTGCAGGGGTTAATCGCCCAGTTAGATGAAATAAGCCCAGGCAATAATCCCTGCATCCGAGAAGCCAGGAGGCGAGCTGTGATAGAAGTGCAAACCCTCATAACCTATACTGACTTAAAGGAGGCACTTCTTAAACAACAAACTTTTGTAGAGCAAACAGAAACAGAAATCCCGTCACAAAAAGCAGTCTGGAATATTCTTGGAAATGTGGCTCAGATTCAACAAGAGGTGTTGTCTTTTGATGGGAACAGAACTGATAAGAACTACATGCGGCTAGAGGAGCTCCTCACCAAACAGCTTCTAGCACTTGATGCTATAGATCCTCAAGGAGATGAGTGTTCAAAAGTATCGAGAAAACAGGCAGTGAAGCTTGCACAGAACATTCTTTACTATTTGGACATGAAAACTGATGAATGGGAGTACTAAAATAATATTGGTCTTATGTGCTAGATGTTGGTTTCTCTCTTGCACTTTATAACAGTAGTTCCATCATTTGCTCATCTCTTTGAGGTTGAGTAAAAGTTGGATTGGGTTAAGCAGCAACTTTTTTCCTGCTTGTGCAATCAGGCAGTGAAGGCAGTCCATGTACCAATTATGTTACAATTTTTGTCATAGCCTGTTACAATTTTTGTCATAGCCTGTTTTCAGTTGCTTGCATGATTTGTGAACAAGACTCCCAAAACTGCATCTCCAGCTGTTACCTAAAGCTTTCCATATAAAATTCTACATCAAGACAAAATACAGTCTTGCAAAATCAAAGCAAAACTAATGAGAAAATCCAGAGCAAATGTCAGTCAGCCTTAAACCAGTTTAGATATTTGCAGTTGTCTGGTTCAATCCAGTTGCAATCCAAAGGATTAAATGCAAATTACTCATGGCTGTTTTGTGTGTTTGATTTAATATTGCTGATCTTTCATCTGAGATTTTTTTAATAGTTTGGCGTAATATGAAACATGAACATATCTGAAATATAAATTTGTAATTGCGTACTTTCTTCTGACTTCCATAGGATTATTTCAGAATTAACAGACAGTCAATCAGCTTGCACATTCTGGAGTTCTCATTATGTAAACTAGAGGAACACCAGGATATAGAAATGGTTCGACTTTAAAAATAGAATGCATAGCATAGGTTGAACAATATATATTGCCTGAATTATGGTGAAGTTTTCAGTAACCAAACAATGATCCTGAATTTGGGATCTTAATAGCTGTGGAGATATTTTCCTTTAATTTTGTGATGATTTGGTAGATATTTGGCAACTTGTCAAATATTCCTTTGCATTTTTTGGATAGATTCATCATTTCTTTTTGCAGACTGTTACTTTTTCTAAGATTTCATGTGCTGCTGTTACAGCTTAGAGTGTTGTTTAAAATTTTCTTTTTCCAAATGCTGTTTATGATTTAATAAGACAGCAGATATTTCTTTTGACTTTTTTATCTTTCAATCCATCAGAATGACTAAACATTTCAGAAAACAGAATTTAAAAAGTAGAAGCATTGTTATATATTACTTTAACTATCTTGAATAGGTTACATGTACTATTCCTGAGTATAAAAGAAAAAGTTGCTTTAGTTTTTTTAACATTTTGTCCTCCACACCTTTTTGTCTTCACTAAAGTCTCATAATTTATTAACAGTATCTGATAATATTTCTGACTACACCAAACCTAAGTCAGTTTAACTATAATTTTTCCCTGTTGCTTATAAATTCAGAATAGGAGAAATCAACAGCAATCATATTTTTAAATGCAGTATTAGTGTCATCCAGAAATCTGCAGTCGATTAATATATAGAATAACATGTTTCTAATCCAAACTCCATATAGTAATCAATATTGGCTTGTAGAAGATTATTTCTACAATACATGATTAATGCATGCTGAGCTATTATTACATTGATGTCTGTGAATAAAATTTTAGTATAGAATTAAAAGGCATAAGGCTTATTCTTGAGAAACAAGTGCCTTTTAAATGACCTTTCAATTTGTAACACCTTGTAGCTTTTACTGCTGTAGTTGACTTCATGGTGTTTTTCAGTGAAGTTTTTTCTGTATTATGGATTAGTTATCACTTATATTTGTAAGGCTCTACTGTGATATTAGCAAACGCCTAAAACCTTGATGACTGCAACCTCCATTTTGCTTAGTTTTGTCCTTGACCTAGTCTCATTGGCCCAATTCTGTGATCTCTTGTGTGTGTCATTTCTGTGAGACGTAAAAAAGGAGTAGTGGCTCAATTTACTTTAAAATTAATTTTGATCTTCTTGTACAATGTTTTTTTTTAAGCTTGATGTATTTTTGTTGTCCTGATATTTTGGTGTTATCTTTGTCAATGAACAGCTAATAGAGTCCAAAATGAACTAATAAGCGTTTGAGTAGCTTCATCATCAGTGACTTCATTTAGTCCCTTTTCTTATTGTTTAAAATGATTACTTTTACCTGCTTGTAACTGCTCTAGTTTGGGTCCTTAGTAAATTGTCTAGCGTATCTAATTAAGATATTTTCACTTTCATTAAAAGTTTTCATTCTAGTTACATGGTTTTGATTCCCAACTCTGCATACATAAAGTTTCCACATGATTTGGATTCCCCATTAATATAACTTTCAAAACAATAATACAAGTGTTTTTCTTCTAGTCTCTTTTTCCCTATATAGGACTTCAACTTCCATGTGGAAGCCATTGCTTATCTGAGTACTCTGAAATGATATGGCAGATTAGACATGTATTTTTAGGGAACAAATAAGTAATTGGTTGTGTATCTACTTGTCCCTCAGCTCACAGAAAACTCTTCACCAGAAGATACTTTTGTGAAAGAAAGAGAAAGATGATTACTGCTGATTCTCCTCTCTCTTTACCTCCTTGGTTTCCATAAAATAAGCTCCAATGTTTACGGAGCAGCATTAAATGTGGTGTTGGCAGTTGTAGCAAAAAGAAAGTTTATATTTGGATTTAGTTTTTCAGACCACAGATTCTTAATGTTGGTTACTAGTTATTAGCAACTTGCATGAAAAAAAAAACTTCAGTAAATTCCAACAGCTGTAGTAGAAGAGGAGAAAGTCCTTCATTCCCATGCAGTTCTGAAGAAGTCAAGCAATGATTTGGGGAACTTTCTGGAATCACATAGTGAGTGATTTAGTGATTTAAAAAGAATAGAAAACCGTAAAAACAGTTCAGAACTGTTTCCCTTATGCAACTGAAGGCCATTCTGTTTTGCACCACATACATCTGATGTTTTTTGTTATTTTAACTTTAAATTTTTCTATTAACTTTTTGCTCATATTTTACATGTAACTGCAATGCTATTGTTCTAAACCTCAACACGTAGGCTTCTAGTACACAGAGACATTCTTGAGGTTCTCATAACTCTTGTACCTTTTAAAAGGTGCAGGTTTTAGAGAGAGTAATAAAATTACAGTAGATATTGTAGTAAAAGCATAATTTCCCATTTTTCTATTTAAAAATAATCTCTAGCTCACAAATTTAAGTGTGCTTTGCTGATCTATATTTTAAAGTTACTTGGTATAACTATAGATCTGATTTTTGCATGAATAAATATGATAAAGTAAATACGATAAACCAAAATGAAACATTACAGATTTGTTTTGCACTTTTAAGAATATTCTTTTTCTACTTAACATGCAAGTAGGTTACAGCACATATTTTCCATTGCAATGGTTTAACAGTCTATTCTGCAGTTCTGCACTGGACCAGATTGGAGGTGTTTTTTTTTTAATATAAAGGCTTTTGTGCAGTGCCATAGTATTTAGGGTAAGAAACATGTAATTCTATTCAAATACATCATGATTTTGATTGTATTAGATATTCTGTTGCTCTAAAAAGCCTTCTGATAGCTTTCTGATGTTTTTGCTAGCAAACATGAAACAATTTTGTTTTGAGCAGTTTGAAATTAACTATTCCAATATGATTGGCAAACCATTGTAATCAGCTTCTATAATTAAGCTTTCTCTGGGCACTAGACCTGTAGTTGGTACATATTCTGTTGTATGTTAAATTTGAGAACAAGCTACCACGTGGCTGGAGCTTGCTGTTTTTTGATTAAGTGTATCATCTCATGTTTATGTATTGCACTGTTCAGTATATACAGATTCAGAAATCAATAAATTATCTAGATGATGCTTTCTTGACAATTCACTTCAGGACAGGATAATTCCTTGTGTTGTATGGTGGGTTGTGTGTATAAAATTCTATACTTCGACATAATGGTCTATAGCCATTACTGATATATGGATGGCATTAGTTTATGTATTGCACTGTTCAGTATATACAGATTCAGAAATCAATAAATTATCTAGATGATGCTTTCTTGACAATTCACTTCAGGACAGGATAATTCCTTGTGTTGTATGGTGGGTTGTGTGTATAAAATTCTATACTTCGACATAATGGTCTATAGCCATTACTGATATATGGATGGCATTAGAATGTTAAATTAGGTTTTTCTTCTTTTTGATAAAAATATAATTATAAAAAATGGGCCTTTTTAGTTAAGAAATACAATTTTAGAAATAACACGTAACAAAATAATATAATGAAATGTGCAGCCTTTCCTCAACTAGACACTTTGGATGGTCATAAGTGCCCTGATCACCCCATGATTAAATTATGGCAATGTGCTCTACATGAGTTTGCCTTTGAAGACCATCTGGAAGCCTCAACTGGTTCAAAATGCTGCAACTTGAGCAGTAATTTCCTGACAGAACAATTAATCAGCGGAACAACCTGCCTCCAGAAGCTGTGAATGCTCCAACACTGGAAGTTTTTAAGAAGAGACTAGACAGCCATTTGTCTGGAATGGTGTAGGGTTTCCTGCCTGAGCAAGGGGTTGGGTTAGATGACCTCCAAGGTCCTTTCCAACTTTATTACTATCATCATCATTATTATTATTAGGCACTTTTCATTATGCCCATGAGTCCCAAGCTGTGTTGGATACCAGTAGGTTTCCAATTGCAATTCAAGGTACAAGTTGTTATCTATTAAGTCACAGAGCCTGATTATCTGAGGGAGTTGCTTCATTTCCAACTGTTTCTGCCCACCCATTATGTTTGGGCTGAGTGGGTGGGCTCTGGGTCGCCTCAATTAAACATCTTGTGGAACCAATGAAGCATGCTTTCTAAGTCATTGCCCCCTACCTCTGGAAAAGAATTCCCTCCCCCAAAATATGGACACCGCCATTCTCCTGCCATTTTGGAAAGCCCTTAAGACCTCACTCTGTTCCTAGACTTTGGATTAATTGCTTGTGTTTTTATTGTTTTGGTTGTTTTTGAATTGGACTGTTGGTTGTTTATATTTTTAATTGTTTTCATTATGTATTTGGATTTTGTAAGCTGCCCAGAAATTACTGAAGTGAGCAACCATTACATATTTTTTTATTATTATTATTATTATTATTATTATTATTATTATTATTATTATTATTATTATTATTATTATTATTATTATTATTATGTAAAATTGCAAGCTTAGAATCAGACTATCTAGGATTTAACTACTTGAACTCTTGAATGGAAGAGATGATGTAATTGTAACAAATAACTATATGCAATTTAATGGCCTTCCCAATCAAAAAGATTTTCAAAGGGGGAACAGAATACAAATGAAGTAATTAATTCTAATTCCATCTTTTTTCTAAAACATTCCTTTTCTTCTGCTTTTCCCCCCATGGAATTTGGCATAAGAAATAGAATAGGGTGAAATTTAAATTATTTCTATTCTTTTAATGATCCTATCAGAATAAAATTTTACTGATAGGAGGGGAATTTATATTTGCATGTCCTGCATAGTTAAGACCTTCTATTTAATGCACTATAGATAATTGGCAGAAAGAAAAATACAAAAAAAGGCAGACAATTCATTTATTTGGTGCTTTAGGAGTTCTGTATTAATTTTGTGCAGTATCAACATAGAGTGGATCAGACCATTTTCAGATTTGGAAACTAGATTTCACTTAGAGATTGGTATGTTAATAAATATGCCTATAACCACCTTGTGACAATATGAACAGAAATGCCTTTTTAAAGTCAGCCTAATTATATGCATATTAAGAAAAGTGGCTTCCTTAAACCAATTTCATGCAGTGTCATTTTTCCTGGGAAATATGTTAGAAGAATTGGATTACCAAAGTAATTATAATGAACGTTGTTCCTCCTCAAGGACATCCTTATATTCTGGGACTTCATGGTAAATCTCAGTACAAATTCTGATTCCTTCAACCTTATATATTGAATATTAGATGCTATTTATAATTTCCCTCCGGCCTCAGTTTTTCAATTCTTTAGAGGAAAACCTTAAAATACAATTCCAGCTCAATCACCTTGTGCTCCATTTGCAAGGGTGGATGGGGGAGTAAAAGAGAAAAGTCC